GAATATATCACTGATATGTGCCATCTTATAATAAGTACAAATGATGTACTATTATTAATAGTTCACACCCAAGGTACTTAAGTAATTCTGACTTTGTTCAAGCCTTTCCAAAATTGATATGATGTATTAAACCCGGTTTTTGCACGAAACCTCCTAAGCGTAATTATGCATAATCAAGGTAATTCAGTTCCAATTTATTTCTCTGTTAAGCAGGTCTATAGCTGACCAAATATTGACGAACCTCATCAATCTCTACATTACGGAGTAATGTGCAATCTTAACTAAAATTGTTCAAGTGTGATATGTAGGCAATAGTGACCTGATTGCAATAAAGGTGTATTGTAAGGGAAAGGTTGTATTTGAATAGCTTTGCTATATCATCATAAGTTTCATTGAAATGAAGCAAATGGAAACTCATTCAAGCTACCTAATCATGGAATTCCGCTTAAGGTAGCACGTTTAAATTTGATAGTTTTTTAAACGCAGATAAGAATAAGAATGACGAAATGTCATTAATCCGTATACAATGGTAGGTGGTTTCTTGGATTTATATGTTTAAGCTAAGTTTTAACCAAGTCTGAATCAAAAACTGTGAGTGAAACTCCAGATTGAAATGTCACATAAATTAAGCCTCCATTGCTGATCCTCCGGTTTTCTGAAATGTTCCTTATACTTACTTAATTCACATTTGATTCTTTTGAATTCGTTTCCTTGTATAAGACAACATTGTATGTTGTTAGTAGTTATCCCTACGTTATCCTACCAAATAGCCTTTGTTGCTTATAATGTAGAAATAATGGTGATCTCTTGGTGGACAAAATCAATGATGCTTCATGATTTTCACATTTATTGAAACAGAAGGACTTTCAGATTTACCACTAGCTCAAGCTGGGATTGCTGTGTGTCATAAATTATATTCCAGCGAAAACACGTATTATCAATTTTAGAAATCATTTTCTCGTCTGAGAATCTTTTCCCTACAGGAAAGTGGTTCTGCACCAGATGTCATTAAATACCTATTGGTATAATTTCGTCCTGCACGTAATCTATTCATTACATTCTGGGGTTCAAAAACCTCCATCAATGAGACAAGGTATAATATTCTTGGAAGAAGCAAATATTGGTATAAAACAAAAACATGATTATATAAAACACAAAAACTGTCTTTTCTAAACATTTTAAAACTGACATACAAGTTCAAAGCAATTCTATTTAATTTATCTTCAATTTCACGATTTAAGTTTTGTTAATGTAATATTCGGGTTTTTTATTGTGTAGTATCATTAATTAGGCCTACCTCAGATCAGAATTTTTTTTTTTTTTTTAAATAGTAAAATAAGTCTGCCCACTTTTAAACCATTAAAAACGCAAATAGCGAATATTCTTTTGTAAATACATGTAATTCGTTACTTAATTTCTTTACTTTCTTTTTTTTATGGGGGGGGGGGAGTTTTAAACAGGTCGGGACCACTAGAATTCTGACGCCAGAATATATTTGCATAGTAATTTCCAAAATACAAAATGTAAACATGTCAGTGGGAAATTTACCAATCGACACAATGAACAACAATGTATGTAGGCTACTGCGAGTTTACTATCACCTAAGAACACGTGGAATTTAGTTGAAAAGTGTCTTTTTGTATTGTATAAAAATGGGTAAAACATTTTAAAGGAATAGGTTACATGATACTGTATACCTCTTGAAATTTTCGTATCACATATTCTTAATTCTTTCAATAAACAATGCTATTTCATAAAATAACAGAGAATACAGTACAGAAATCCTACTTGGTACTAAGCATTACAGGCTGTTCAGCACCATGGCTTTAAAGACAGACACATGATTTATATGTACAGTACATATGTTATATAGACTGGGACACCTATCTACTGTTGAAGATATTATATTGACCCTTAGTTGCCTTTTGGTTATTTTTTTTCGTTTGGTTGCTGTCTCATTGACATTCACGACACACCTCATTTGATTCCTAGCCGTATTTAAAACCTGTTAAATGACATATAATCGTAGACGTGTATTTCGCAAAAGTAAGGCAAAATAACGTGGATGGTTTATTAGTTATGACACAATATCACGACGTGCAAAAGAAAAAAAAACAAATAGAACTATGTGTTGTTTTTTTTTTTGGGGGGGGGAGGGTATTTATCTCTAAGTCTTATCAATTATTATCTCTTAAACTAAAAACACAGTTACAGAGACAATTTGTATTTACAATAAAACAATGATTTTCTGTGCATGTAGTAACACAAGAACACACTTTCTGATGTTATTTAAGGGATTGCAGCAATCGTATTTGGATAGTGTGACAATGTCCCTTTTATTGACCTTTGAAATGACAGCAAAAAAACAAAATATTATAGGTTCAATATCACACGGACATTTGGCACTCGCTTTCCCAATTTTATGATATATCTGAAAAGTTCAAGAGCCTTCCGTTTTCGAAATCTGAATGGAAGTAAAACTAATTACCTTTAGATTTTTTGTGTCGTTTAGTTGCTGTCCACTGAAAGAATGTCTTAAATCTTTTTTTATCGATCCATAACATTAGTGGCTACTGTTCGAGTATTTCAAACACTATTTTCTTAGGACAGAAACATTTATTTGTTAATCTGAGCATAAAACTAATACTTTATATCATGATCTTTAAATGTAATCACATAATAAGAAAAAATAATACGAGATCTTTTTTTCCGGCAATCTGTGAAAAAAGACATTGCGTGTCATTACAAAACACGTGTTCTCGGTAAATTGTAGGCACGTAGTAGTCCATCATGCATTGCAACTCATTAATTGGATTGGTCAAGGACCCAGGTAAAATTAAGTATTGTGTAAACAAACAATTATATTGGCGGGAACATAACTATGCTAGATTATGCATACCCGTATAAAGTAGTGTTACCGACCTGTTAAAGTATTGATTGGACACTACTCTGCAGTTACTACACTATTCAATGGTTGGGATAAGATCACACCAAAATGTGCAACCAACTGCAGTTTGGTGTTATCAACAAGCATCCTTTGTCTCGTTTCATGTTCTTTTTTTCTGGTTTTTGATAAACTATCTTACATTCTAGGCCTTTAATACCGTTCAGATTTTCGTCCATTCAATAATTTTTGTAATCACACCACGTATATTTAATTTGAATTAGAATTGCAGCAACCAAAATTTCTACTTTGCTTGATGCATTTTTCATGAATTGTTTCGTAAAATTGCAAGAGAACAACAAGACAAAACACGAATTTAATAATTAGTAACACATGTTTTAATACTACACTTATATGCTGCTTAATCTCAAGTGTTTTATTGTGTTTGGAGACTGTTGTTTGTCCTTTCGTTGTATTTTATTTGTGGCCATATTGTCTATTTTTATTTGTGGCCATGTTGTCTGTTTTTATTGTGGCCATGTTGTCTGTTTTTATTTGTGGCCATGTTGTCTGTTTTTATTGTGGCCATGTTGTCTGTTTTTATTTGTGGCCATGTTGTCTGTTTTTATTTGTGGCCATGTTGTCTGTTTTTTATTGTGGCCATGTTGTCTGTTTTTATTTGTGGCCATGTTGTCTGTTTTTTATTGTGGCCATGTTGTCTGTTTTTATTTGTGGCCATGTTGAATGTTGCTCTTTTAGTTGTTGATTGCCCTTTGGTATTTCCAACCCCCTTTCCTGTTCAAGATGGAAAGAAATGCCGTCTTATCGGATAGTATTGTCCCGAAAGCACAATATCAATGTTGTTGAAAACTTAAGAAACTGTTTTACAGTTGTGTTCAATGTAAAATCCAATATCATGCGGTAAACAAAATCAATTAAATCAATTAAATAAACCTTATAGGTCATCTGGTCCAAACCACCAGTTTAAGCTTTTGCCATAACTTGTCATCCGTCGTCGTACAGTACCAAAATTATTTTCCTTATATACCACAGGACCAGTTTTAACCAACCTTGGCCCAGGGAAGCAAATATAAAATTTGTATTTTTGTCCCTGTTAACCAATCGACATGGCTGCCATTGTTAATAATATGTTAATAATAAAACATAAAAGTAAAATGAAAATGATTGTCTAGTATACTAAAAAAATCATAATAGATCGAGTAAATCAAAATATAATATAAATGCTCTTGATGTCGAAAGGGTCTACCAAATTGTGAAACCGCTACCGAAAGGAATAATCGCTCCCGCGGTTTTCACTTAGGGTTGTAGGACGTTAAGAAACCAACAAGCAACCAATCATCAACTTATAGTGTTGTTGTCTATTATGTTGAATACGAGATATAATAAACAGTAAATATGAACAGAAATACAATATCTACAAAAATGCCACTATAACTGAATTTCAAACCACTATTTGACTTCTTGTAGGAGGTTTATTTGTCTCAAATGATGAGTTTTTAGCATTTTCGCTACTTATGAACAGAAATACAATATCTACAAAAATGCCACTATAACTGAATTTCAAACCACTATTTGACTTCTTGTAGGAGGTTTATTTGTCTCAAATGATGAGTTTTAGTATTTTCGCTACTTTCTTGAAAAGTTATAGATAAATTCTGTAAACAACAAATGTGATTGTTTAGAACGGATAGTTGTTGACCTCGTGACTATGTTTAGCACAATCAACATTGTGTGTGTTGTTTTAAATACTCTTTAAAATCGTTATCATTTGACATTTTAACTGCTATGATTCGAGTGCCACTGACGAGTACTATGTAGACGAAATGCGTTAACCCAGGTTTTGGTTTTGAATTTCACAACCATTGGCTAGATTTCTGATGGAATAGTCGTATCTGAGTTTATCACAACCGAATATTGGCTCTTCTATGATGGCAAGAAACGGTCAATTTCTCCACATTTGCTGTTTTCAAAATAATAATTCTAAAACGAACAGAATAAATATCAGTTTTTTTATAATCTCAGTACTGTACATTGTTTTAGTTCTTTTTAAAGATACACATAAAATTGTTCACAGTAACTTATCTGGTATTTGCAGACTTTCAAATGGTTGGCAGAGCAGTTCAGAATGCATTGGCATGGACAGTATTATAAGATAGCATTTTTTATAATAGAGGAATTTCACGTGTGGATAACAGTTATATTGTTAACGTTCTTATGTGGTGAGTATCCGAGGTTTGTGTTGCTGTTTGTTGTTGTTGATTTTATGTGGTCTTTTGTGTGAAGGTTTATTTAGTTAATATATATCAACTTTCAGCTATCTGTTATGCATGGCTTAGAATTACGTCTTACAAAATGTGTGCAATGAACAAAACAAATCAAAATTTCTATGTTGATCTAGTCTCATTAATTCAAAAACCTTATAAATAATCAGGATTTTGAATACACATATGAAAATGGACGTTCCTCACATGTAAAGTAAGGTGACAATAGTTTACCTGTGTTAAGAAATAGATAAACCATTGTAACAAACAAAAACTGAGTGAATCGCATGAACTTCAAAAGGAGAAACATGGTGCGTTGAGAGTAAGCGTCTCCTGCTATGCATATATTACCCGCCAATCGAATTCACTCTTAGTCAAAATGGCATAACCGGGAGTAGAAGGCAATTGATAAAATCACATATCAGACGCTTTTACTGGTATCTAAAGATATAAGACCTTGAAAATATGTCGCTAGTTTGTTGAGACATCGTATCGGTCAACCAATTATGATTTATGATTTAATAAATATAGATATCAAAATATATATTCACGTTGACAGAATTACATCCATTTGCTGCATAAAATCGGGGTTGTTTAAAACTAGCTGTGTTTACCTTTTTGGAATACCAATATTCTTGATAGGTGACTGTTCGGGGTTTTATTACGTATTTACCTTTTGCGACATATGGTCTAGATAGTATAGGCAAACGGCAAGGTAAGTGGGCTCGTTAAACTGGTTTAACCCCACCATATAGTGTACCTGTACCATACAGGTATCTTGACTACGTTTTGATCGTTCGTAAATGTCTTTTTGGAGTAGTCGGATATTAGTGGTTGATGAGATCTGTTGTATGGTTAACATAGCGCCTGTTTCTCAAAACAAGAGAGACATAGTTATGGTCTTACAAATTTAAACACTAGACTAATTGTTTAATTAATTGCATGCACAAACCGTCATGCGAACCCAGTTCGTAATAATGACCTTATAACTTATGTAGTGTCCTCATAACCCTTCTAGCTGTGTTATTTGTGTCAGGCAGCAACCCACGAATGTTGATTAACAAGTAGTATGTATAATTTAGACATGTAAACGCTTTACTATGGGGCAGAAATATGTTACTCCTTATAAATCGGAAGTTGACAACGGGAAAGCTGAAATCGTCACGTTTGTTATAGATCCTAGTTTACTGTCGTCTTAATATCGCGATGTCGAGAAAAAAATCCAGATATGACGCTGACCTTCTAGTTACGGTAGTATTGTTAAGTTCTATGTCACTCTGATATATGAGATGAAGTGTCCAGTTTAGGTTCACCAAGTTTGAATTGTATATCCATAACTAATAGAATTGAGAATGGAAACGAAGAATGTGTCAAAGAAACAACAATCCGACTAAAGAGCAGAAAACAGCCCAAGGCCACCTATGGGTCTTCAACGCAGCAGCGAGGAAATCCCGCAGGTGTTTGCGTGCTTCAGCTGGCCCCTAAAAAAAATCTTGGAAATAATGGGTTTGATATAAGTATGAGAAATTATAGTAGTTTTATCTTTAAAATAATGAGATACTATTATTGGTTTCTGTACAGACCTTTTGTTGAAAATATTGCGCTCAAACCCTTATTAACTAATAATACTTTCAAAACTGCATTTTTTTTTCATAATCTTTGAAATAGTAGTCACGGGTCTAAAATTTTGATTTCCATAACTATTGCAACCAGTCTGTACTAAGATGAATTTCCATCCGTAACTGGAGTGTGGTTTGCCTCGTGTTAACAAGTAGTTCAAAAATCAACGAAGACCACTAAAATGTAGACATGTACACCAGATATCAATAAAAGCCATGGCGGTGACATTATTGACGGAAACTTTTTTCACTTGAACAAATTATAATAAGATGTTAGTGATCAGTTGTAGAAACGATTCCAGTGTCTTGTTTTATCATGTTTTAAATATACATGTGTCTATATATCCAGTTCTAAATCGTTCTGAGTCCACAAAAGTTGTAAATAATGTCAAGAGAAAATATCAAAAATCTGCAAGCAACACCAAATTCTCGAAATAATTTCGAGATACTAATCAGTACAACTCCCAACGGATGTAGTTAATCTAATAAATATCATCCATGCAAGTCCATGAAAGGATGTCATCTAATGTCATCATAAAAAGCCTAAGTAAGAATTACAAACACTTCTAAATTTACCGCAGTGGATTAGTCTGAAAATTGACTGAAAGACTGAAAATGACTATAAAATGATTTATTGTTAAGACGTTTCAGATGATGTTTATATAAAAAAAACGAACAGTTTCGGACTAAAATTCATGTACTAGTGCTTGTAATCGACATTTTGTGGCATGTTCACTCATTTTTTTCCCTTCATTTCTATAGTTGAAATTAGTGAAAAAAAAACTCAAAAAAGAAACCGAACCGAATTCTGAGATGAAAAAAAAAATAAATCCAGAGGACAATGGATTAGCCAGGTGCTTCTCCTTTAATCGCGATCAGTGTAAAACAGAAAGTACATAAAACATACAAGAAAAAGGTCATGGAGAGTACTTAAATCCTAAACTGTGGTATACAAGATAAAAAAAAGCACACGAGTGTTCACGAGTACCGAAAATAAGCTCATAGTAAATGACATACTGATGTAAAATTATATGACATTCTGCTGTTCTACAATCTCATTTCGGGTTGCTACTCACAATGATTAAGTCAAAACATCCGTTAGTATCAGTATTCTACTTCATTAGTGTTTGTAATAATTATGAAGCGGGTTCTGTTTTTTTTTTTTAATTGACCTTTCTGCAATTTTTTACGTAATGAGATACAACTATTTTTGATAATAGTGCAGAAAATTAATCTGCAAGAGGCGTTAAAACAGCTGTCTAACGGAATGTCAATTGCCTGTTCGAAAATAGAATATGCAATTAAAAACTTAGCAATCTAACAAAATCTAATAATTATAATATTGTATCTGTCAACTGTTGGTTTCAAACAAATCAATTTCTTCAAATTCTTTTGTCTTTTATGTACCAGTCAGACATTTGTGATGAGTTTTAAACTTTTAATCCTATTCAGGTGGTCTCAACAAAATCATTTTAATTCATGAATAATTATATATTTTGGTTTAATGTGTGTTAGTTTTTCCTTTGTACCTGTAAAGTCAAAAGGATTTATGTTAGTATCTGTTGATCTTGCAGTTAGAATTAATTATTATTAACTGTTTTCAAAATATCATTTTCTTCTATGTAAAAGATTTGAAACGAACAAGTTCTGCATCTAATTTCAGTTTCAATTATTTTAATTCTGATCATGTTTATTCTTAATATTAATGAAATGCAACCCAGCAGACGTTCGATAGAATTGGGAATAAATTCATTACGTTTGCTTCAAAGGATTGTATAATTTTCATTGATTGAAGTTAAACCTAAATAAACAATATATCAGTTGGTTTTCGATATTATCTGACTGGAGTTCACTTATGGTCTCTGTAGAAATCCATTAAAAATATTATAATCAACTTATATTGACTTTAATTACGTGTATTGTACCTATCAGTTAGAATTATCATCGTAATCCGTGAACAGCAACTCAGCAGGTAGGGTAGGAAATAAGTTGTTATGAAAAAACAACTGACATTTATAGAAGTTTGCATCATTTGAAAGTAGTTACAGTTCTATGATCATGGTAATAGGGCAAATAACGATTTGAGGAGAGGTTTATCAACACAGAAAAAACATTATTGGTAAAGAAGATGTGTGGTAAACGTCAATACAACTTACATTAAATAACACCAAAAAAAAATCAATGAAATATGAATAGGTAGTCGTACAGTGTCTGAAGATGGGCAATTGTCCTCATTATAAAACAAGTAATAAATCAAACAAGGTCTAAATAAGTTGTTCACAAATCAGCAGGGACCAGTCCAATTTGATGTGTATACCAAAATGTCAATTAATTCAAATGAAGAAGTTGCAGCAATAGCAAAACAACTCATTTTCACTTCCAGCTGGCTGACGATATTTGTTGCATAACTATTTTCATGGTAGTCGTTTCCTTTTTCCCTTTGAAAGGGACACGTTTGTTATTTCGGATTTTGTTTGTTTATTACAGAAATCATATCATATTGTCATGTTTTGAAATAAAAAAAAAGAAAGTTAAAATCAACTTAACCGAGAAAGCCGAGATGAATATAATTGGTTTATCTCAGATATCTGCAACATTCTTTTTTTTTCTTTATTCAAAACCTATTCTTAAGATAACCAGAAATGTAAATAGGGAGAGATTTTTTAGATTTTCAGCTTAAATTTAAAAAAAACAACATAATATTCGTATTTTAATTGTGTAAAATGTATTTTAAGATTCATTTCATAATCATGAAGTTTTAATCGATATTAAATAGATACCTCTTCCCCATAAACAAGAGAATTTTAAAATTTGAATGTTTGTGAGGTATGTTGATATTCATTAATAATATTCAATTAACAATATTTAGCCAATATTGTTGCGATTGGTTTTAGATATATTCATTCTTTTCGTTTTCCCTATATATAGAAAGCGAGGCTCTTCCTGTCTGGTTCCCGGTTTCAGATATCATAATCCTGTGTTGGAGAACCGCTGAAGCAGTGTATCAATTATCCAACGGCACCACAATATGACCGATGGTGTGTTTTGATGATTACATGTATAATTGGCGGGAGCTTTTTCACTTGTGAAAGGAATTCCGAATATATTACTATCAACAATACTCTAGTTACATTTCAATTGGAAACACATATTCATTATTCCGATAAGAACCTTTAATGTTACATTTCTTCCAAAAGAAATAATAAACCAAAGTTTTTCTTCATATTTGTAATCAATATTATAACAGAATTTTTAAACTTACCACATGTTTATTCTTGTTTTAATGTTCGTTAATAAAATTGTTTTTGTTTCGATTTTGATAACATTTATACCGGTGCG